GTGTGTGTGTGTGTGTGTGTGTGTGTGTGTGTGTGTGCGCTATTCTTATAGTTCTGTCCAAGCACAGAGAATTACTTCAGAGTTCTCCAGGCATTACAAATTGATGGATAACTCCCTGGCCAGGGACACGTGTATAAGCAGCTTTTCCAAGTTTGCCACAGTGTTATCTTTAAATTAATTACACAAACTGGAGAAATCTACATTTTGCAAGCATGCTTTAGTTGCAGATGAACTACATGGGAGGGGCAAGGGGGGTGTATGAAGGGGAGGTTCTCCATTCTTCAAAACATCTAAGAGAAAAGGCAGATTAGAGAAGAGTGTGTACTGCAGTTCCTGTAAGGTCAATCCTTGGCATTCACCAACCATAGCTCCTTTATGCTGCTGCTTCTAGTCGCTTCCCGCCACACTCAAATGCTCATTAAGTGAGACGCTAACTGCTATGTAGCATGAAATGAGTGCAATAATGGCAAAGGTTGAAAGGGTTGTTGATGAACACAAATGACTCATAAAATTATCTGAGCAGTGCTGAGACATCCAAGTATCAGAGCAAGATGTCTGTGAAGATTTAAGGTGACCCTGCGGCATTTCTTTTAGCATAATTCACCAAGTTGAGATACTTCCTGTCCATAGCAACGATAGTTAGGTAGACGATAGATAGACTCACGGGCAAAAATTAACTTGCCGGGTTGACTGCTTTTCCTTCAGAGCTTTCTGGCATTAAACCTTCTTTCATTTTATATTTTCTAGTTGCAGTTTGTTTGTGTTTAAGCAACAAAATACTTGGTTAGGTCCACATACTTGGTCCACAGAGGAGGGACTCCTCAGTTGTAGGTAATGTTTTCTCTACCGCCGTGCAGGTCAAACTTTATATTTCTACACCAGAGTTGGCTAATCATATTATCCGACTTGTTCTGCCCTACTCGTTTGCTGGAAGTACTTTTCACTTCCAGCAGTGCTACTTGACATCAAAAACAGGCTTACGGGGTATCTCAGCCTCTCAGTTAATAGATCAACGAATGGGCTGCAGTTTCCACTGACAGCCACACTTTGCTATTTAAGCTGATAAGACTGGTTTACTTTTTCCATAAAAATACCTCCAGAAGTGTTAAGAGCCATAAAACAAAACCAGCTCTACAGAGATCTGCTATGTAAATCTAATTTCATAACATCAGCCTTGCTGGCCACCCTCCACCGCGCACCACCATCACTCAGCCCACCCGCCTCTCTCGTTTTTCTGCTGAGGCGAGATCCTGTATACTTGGTTGTTGCTTGGAGGACAGAGGTGCCATCAGATATCAGTGCTCAACACTGAACAGATGAATGGGCTTCATGTAATAAGCCTGAAGGAAGACAACAGTAAGGCGCTGGGGGAGTTGAAGTGGTGAGTTGTGTAGTGTGTGGGTGGGGGTAGCTGCTTTGTAAAGCGCTCTTAGCCATGGCCAGCGCTCCATCATACGTACAGGAGTTAATTCATGTGACAGAGGGTTTCTGTCACTCAGTGGTGTGAGGACACTTTGCCTCGTCTCTGTTTCACATGATGAAATGCACATATGGCCGTGGCAGCGAGGAGAGCGCCGACTGAAGGATGGGAATGGTCGCTGAACAGGCCCTGGATCCTGTCAGAAATGACAACAAGAAGTAGTAGACACTGGCTTTAAGCACCGACTGGCAGCTTGATCACCTTATCAGTGAATCATAACACTATGCTAGTGCTAACTGGCAACACAGACACACACAGGGGACCAAACGCACACAGCTTAGAGCAAAGATGTGAGTCTGTGCTCTACATATCAGCTCTTTGATCAGACACACTGCAGATCACCAAAGTACAGGCGCACAAATATCTTAATAACTCTGCCTGAAACAGGCTGCCAGGAGTCCACACTTGCTTTCACATTGTTAGTCTGATTCAGTGTGCATCACTGCTGGACTAAGAGCCGTTGGGCTCTAGATACACCACACTGGCACGACCTCAGCGACGGACCGTGAATATACAAAGCCGCCAATTATCATCATCCCTGTTAACATCGCAGCTGATTGCAGCAGTTTGCTGTTTCTTAGTTAGACAGTTGTACTAACCAATAAAAACTTTCAGTCCTTTCTAGCTTATCTTTTTTTTCCTTGTTTGTGTCTTTAATTAAGACTGTGCAGATACATCAGAAGTCAGTCTTAACTGATTTAAAAAAAAAGAAAAAAAGCTTTATCAGATTTAACGGGCATCCGCAGGAGACAGTGCCGCGCTGCTCCTGTACAAGTGAAACCACATTGGGAGCTTGTGAGAAAAGCTCTGTTTCTCCTCAGGGAATTTGCCATAAAATTATATGAGAGGCTGCACTGAATGAACTATGACTAGGATTCCATTTCCATATTAAAACAATCTTCCTTTATAGATTGTAATTACTGGAGCTTTGAAACACATGGAAGCGAGGTTTCACAATGTTTTATTGCACAACGCGACTTTCCAAGATACAGTTTTGCACTATATTTATAAAAAATTCCACATCTTGTAGAGTGGTGCAGTTAATTATTCATGACAATACGTATTGTGTTTGGAATTATTCCCTATAGGGACCAAAGCTATAGCACAAAGCTCCTCTGTGCTGGTTTGGCCTAAACATCCGGAACTGACTCCGACCACTTTTCTAATCTGACTCTAATCACCGCACTCAGATACAATAATAAGTGTGAGTGATTATCTTCATTCCATTGTGCGCTCCTTTTGTGACAGAAGTGGCATTCTCAAGAATGAAAATGGGGCTGGCAACAAAACGCTAGTTTAGAGAGCATGACAATCATATTAGCATGTATAGAATCTGATATGAATCCAGCAGATCTTCTGTGGGAGACTGGAAACATTGCAGGAAAAATTATAAATGTTAATGATGCAGGTAATCTGTCATAACTGATTAGTAGTGGCTGCCTTTATCAATTTTTTAAATGTAATTAAAAGTGGCTAAAACCCCCATTCAGCATCAGCCAGCTATCTCACACAGCACATTTATGCTTTCCTTGTAGTTGTCTTGTGTTTAGGGACACACTAATGATTGTTTTGATTATGGATTAAATCAACTTTTTAAATGGACTGCTTTTATAAAGTGCTTTCCACTTCTTTTTTTTTCTGAGGACAAAGCTCTCTGCAAATCCTCTCATTAAGCCACACACAAACACACACACAAATAAATACACATTAGTGGTGGTGTCAAGGTGAAATCTTTGGGATCTGCATCTTGCTCAGTGATGCTTACCCAGCATTTGGGAAGAAGGAAACAGGAAACAAGGAAGGAAACAATTAATGACTGTCCTTTCCAAAGCCCCCCAAAATAGCAAAAACTGCAGTGACAAGGACACAAAGAGGGTCTCTCAGAGACAGAACACCACCCTCAAAAAAAGTGTATTTAATATTAAGAGGCACAAAACATATCATGTTCACACATTTTCTCTTATTTAGAACCTCTCTGGTGTGATCAAGGTTCACAGGAGCCATCAGTGGTGCTGAAAAAAAACACAACTGCACAATCCGGTTGTTAAGTCTGACGTCACTAGCTGTGTCTGGGCCTAAACTCCGCTGCGGGTCCATATATCAAACGATCACTATGGCATTACTGAGAGTTGAAAAACTGTCTAAAGTCTTTCATCTTTAATAAAATGATCAGCGTTCTGCTCTACCAGGTGTAACAATTGAGTTTAACATCCAGGCATCCATGAAAACGGAATTTATGACATTTAACGGAGTTAGAAGTTAGCAGGGAGTTAGCTTGCTAGCTTCTATCTAAATACAATATAGCATGTCCTGACTGCGGGGTTTTGGAAACAAATGAAAACATACAGCTCTGCTATCACTTCCAACATAAATGAAGACAGAAAACTAAACAGCAGTGACGTTTGTAGGGTTACTGAAGTTGGGCTAGCTGGTATATAATGATGTGCTACGAGAAAATTTTGTCTGATAACTTACAAAGTTACATAAGCACTGGAAAAACACAGTTTGCGTTGTCTTTATTTGTAGAAATGAACACCCTTCCCTGTACTAGGCTTTATACTCTTGT